ATCATTCCGCCTTATTCTTCCTCCTCCTCGTTATTCGTCTTCTTCTTCTTCTTCTTCTTCTTCTTCTTCTTCTTCTTCTTCTTCTTCTTCTTCTTCTTCTTCTTCGTCATCTTTGTCTTCTTCTTTGTACAATGTCCCTTCGGATATTGTTTGAATATGGCTAATCACAACTTCTTTATAAATCTTATTAAGGATTTTTTTCCCTTCCTACGCCGCAAAATACCATTAGCCAACAAAGTATATTAGGCAAAACGAAGAAATATGTGAAGGATACTTTACACAGTAATGGTTTAATTTAATTATTATTGGACACGTAATAAAAAATTTTAAAATAATCAGGAAGAGAAATCCCATCGGGCCAGATGTAGCTAGTAAATTAGTTTTGAAAAAGGCAAGCAACTTTTAATATTTAGACGAATCTTTAAATCTACGAGGGTGGGGGGGGCCCAAACTCTTGACCTGTAGTGCATATTAGGTCAGAATTTATTATGTAAGTCAATGTTTTCCAAATAAAATTCTTATTAACAAATGCTGGTAAAGAATCGCTATATATATTTATATTTATGCGATTTGTTGTGACTGAAGTATTTTCAATCTTATGTCAAGGTCACCTGATTCCAATTATTCTATTCATCACAAATATGAAACATAGTACAGTTTTTTCTTTTTATATATTTAATTTACATATATAAAGATTACCATGATTTGTACAAAGACGTAAAATCAACAGAAAAATTCAAACTAGTCTAAAGTTATTGAGAGAAATGAATAGAAGAGAGTTCATAAGAAAACATAATGACATTTGGAATCACTAGAAACATAATAACCCCAAAATGACTGTCTATAAGAATAATGTCTATAAGAATATGGCTAGAAAACATTTGAGAAAAATTAAATGGGCAATAGACAAGGAAAGCGGACTGAAACAGTAAGAAAATATATGAAGATGTACATATTATAAAATTAAGCATAGAAAAAATATGTATAATATGATATATTGGCTAAATTTAACTAAATATTACAACGGGAATAGTTTAAGTTGGACGCATAATCTATGAAAAACTAACTTCTAAAATGTATAAAAAAACATTAAAAGTAGTTTTGGCATAAAGTTATTGTTAGTAGCCCTCGTTTGAAAAAAAAATGCTACATTTATTTACTGTCGTCTTAATAATAAGTCCTATAGATCTGAAAATTTATAACTAACGGATACTCCCGAAAGTGACCTCCAGGCTGTTTATAACTGAGTCAAAATTCGGCTTGTGATTAGTAACCACTCCAAAACGAAACTATTTTTTAATCAACATAGAGAAGAATTTTTCCTTCCATCAGAATGGTCGATACTAACCCCCATGAGAATAAGTCTTTCAGTATTCTTGGGCTTACCTTTTACCAAACATACCAAGTAGAATGATTCTCTTGAATCAGTTACTAAGTTTACTGGTAGAGAAATTACTTCGCTATGTTGGGCCAAACAATTTTTCTCGCAAGACCATTCGTCCGATCCTTAAATATTGCTGTTATATGCTTTCTGGTATTTCTGTTATATATCTCGTATTGTCCAACAAAATTCAAACCGTCTGTAATATTATCGGTCCTGACATGGCATCTCGACTTCAGTCATTTCCCGTGTCTTTTCTATAAATATTTTCATGGCAATTGTTCTAATGAGCTCGCCACTTTGGCAGTGATATATATTCTCTGGTGAATGCGGGGCGCCTTTCGTTTCGGGTGTGATTTTCGTATTTGTTGTTATATATGAATGAGTGAATGAATGCGATGAATGAATGTTTTATATTATTAAAGGCACGCATTGATTTTGTCCAGGTAACTGTTGTTTCTGCCAGATTTAATGATTGTAACGGGGTTACTAGCATTATTTTATTTGGTTTGTTGTAAATAGTTTTGTTTCCGTATTGTAAATACTAATTGGGGCTAGTTTTAGATTATTGTTTTACTCCCCTCCCCTCACAAACAATGAATTGTTAACATGGGGGCTAGTTAGGATTTTCATAGAGACATTGAGGTATTACGTTGGATGAAGTAAAAAACGTAAGTAAGAATGCGTTGTTTTGGTGTAAGGAATAATATGGTATGTTTGGGTCAGTTTTTGTGGCTAGTTAAGTTCAAAGTTAAGACAGAAGAAGACCGTCCTTTTCCCCAATCCCCATTTTGGCTTTGTGTCGTATTTTCTTTTTTGAAGCGGAAACAAATATCGCTCTCCACGTTGACACTGCGATCCCATGAATCTAAAAGTACAACTAGATAGGAAATTATTTCTGATGCTTTTACGGCTGAAATAATTTAATGTAAGCGGATGTTCTACTCCAATCGAATCTTTATCGCACTATCGCACCTAGAACTTTCTCCTAGTTACTTAATTTCCCAAACACATGCGATCTTCAAAACTTTAAATCCTTCAATCGTAATATTCTTCTTCCTGAATACTGTTCTTTTATTTTCCTCTCTCTACATTAAAGGTTAATCAATATCTTTAACTTCTAGTAACCCATTGTGTCTTAGAGTCATTGTGCCTTGCTTGGGGTGAAATGATTTTAAAAAGTTATGCAGATTTTATAGCCAAAACATTACATCGATGAATGTTTATGATCTTTCTTATTCTGTAAATTTCAAAACAGCCTTAATAAAAAGAGTTTTCTAATACAACAAAATAAATAAAACACCCGAGAGTCATCAGACATTAATTTTCTCTTCATCCTTTAAAAGAGTGAGAACGGAAAACAATATTGAAATCACGAACATCACTTGAAAGCGCAGGAATTTATTGCAAGTAATTCTCGAGAGTTTCTAAAATCAACAGAACATATTTTATAAACAGCATTCTCACAAAATATGGCTTCGGTAAAATCGTCGTAACGAATGATTAGGGCGATGGGAAGTTAAATATTTTAAAATTGAATGATTCTCAATTACCCAAAGTAGAAAACTTAATAACAGTTTTGTAATTATGTAGGTTTAAACATTTTTTTCGAAACAAATTATATCTGAAAAGTGTATCACTTTATGAAACTGGAAGAGGATTTGAAATATGTTACAATAATTAAAATATAATTTAAATATAAACGAGGAAATATCTTGGAAAATTTATTCTGACATATGGCGGCCATTAATACACAAGCAATAACGAAACCAGCGTTCTATTTGTTCATTTTCTTATTTCACACTCTTTTTAATTTTCTCTTCTTACCACACACATACGCGCATACACACACACGCGGACACACACATATACACACACACAAACACACACACACAAACACACACACACACACACAAACACACACACACACACACACACACACACACATATATATATATATATATATATATATATATATATATATATATATATATATGTGTGTGTGTGTGTGCAAAAAATAATTTCAAACACAAATTCGACCCTAAAAATGGCATATTTATTAAAAGAGAAAATGGCATAGATGAAAAAAAATTTAAAGTGACCCTCTGGAATCTTACCGAAAAGGGAAATATTGATTATGTCGTTTCTTAAAACATATACACATTTCCCAAGACAACATACATGCATATAACAATTTTTAAATTAAAAGATAACGATTGAATTCAAAACCTATTATTTAAAATATATAATACATAAATTCTCAGCCAAGACTAAATTAAGTTAATTACTTTTGAAAAAAAAACAACAGCAAAACTCTCTATTGCTTACTACACATTATATCACTTAGCGCCTTCTATAATTGACCTCTAACTTAGTCGCATGAATATTTAAGAGTGTTATTTGTTTATATTAATGAGATTAGGTATTGTAATCACTTACACTATTTACATTTTTCAGAGTGTTGTCCTTCTCTTTGTTGCCATATTCACGACGATTCAATAATTGTACGCTCCGGTATTCTTCAGGTGACTGGAATTTCTTATTGGACCATTTATTTCTTCAACTGGGGTAGATTGGTCAGGTATTGCTCGGTGAATGTTGGCTTGCGGTATTCGGATGTCTTGACTCCATGCTCTGTTTGAAATATTAGTATATCTAGGAATGCTAGATTCTTGTCGTTTTTTCCCTCTCCATTATGAAATATATCGATGCTCTTATTGAGTTCACATGGTTAAGCTGGACTTCTTACTGATATGGACAGAGTATGAAGGTCTCATCTATGTATCTCAGTCATAGCGTGGGCTTTAGTTAAGTGGATCCAAATACTATTTCTTCGAAGTAATATATATATATATATATATATATATATATATATATATATATATATATATATATATATATATATATGTTTGCCATTACTGTTGATAATAGGAGCCCATTGCTAAGCCTTCGGCCTGTCGATGATATGTCCCATTCCGAAGTATGTTTTTGTATACAGGAAGTCAGCATTTCCATTAGATTATCTATTGGAATTCTGGTCGGTTTTCCTTGGCATGAGACCAAGTTCAGTCTGTCTCTGACTACAGATAGTACCTCCTCTGTGGATACCTTTTAGTGAACAAATAATTAAATCAAGTTCAGGTTCACCATCTGCTTGACTGGATGAATGTTTTTTTTTTATTATTTCCACAAACAAACACACATATGCCGCCTCCCAAAAATCCACAAAGACAGTATTCAGCTCAGGCCAATTATTAGCTACCAAAACTCTGTGTGACACATTTTGAGTCGCTTCCTTGTAAAAGAACAGAGATTATAATGGCCAAAACATCGTGAATATGGCAAAAAAGTTGAGGACAACAGTCCGAACAATGTAAGACTTGTTAATATTTATGAGTGTTGTTAAATTGACGAAATGCGTCGGCTTTTATCTTTATTCACACACACACACACACACACACACACACACACACACACACACACACACACACATATATATATATATATATATATATATATATATATATATATATATATATATATATATGTATGTATGTATGTATGCATGTATTGTACTTAGTATATTTAGGGAATAATCCCTCGCATAAAATGTTTTATTGCAGGATGGACAAGTGATATCTGTTGAGGCTTTTTAGTGTGTTTCTCTTGGCTTCGAGTACATCGTTTGATGTCATGTGGAAAGTTGTAAATTAACTTGACAAAATTCCCACGTACATTTCAAACTCCGAGCCGATAACAGCATAAACGGTCCA